AATCTTTGCTGTGCAGACTGACAATCTCCTGGGGAAATTGAGCCTACAATGAAATATTGAGCATAGAGGAGATGCACATTTTTATTTCACATGTTCTATGATGAGAAATGGCTGTCAAGAGTATGCTACCTAGCACTTACTTTCAAACATAAAAAACAACAAAAATGTCGCTTAATCGGTCCCTTCAAGCTGTCCCTTCAAGGTTAAGATGACAGTCTATCCATGAGCGAGGAAGTCACTGCTTTTCTAAAGAAACACGTACTTTAGGAAAAAGTATTTTGAAGATGGATGACTGGAAATAGTTCCAATATTGTGATTTTTAAAAAATTACCAAAAACAATGGTTTCACCTATGAAAACCTTTCCACACTTTGAAAAACTAAGAAACAGAATTTTAAAACTTATTTTTAAAATTTAAATGAAATTTCTTAATGGAGGTAGAATCCATTTATTAAGAATATAAAAAATGTAACATCTTCCAATCATTCCAGAAGGATTGACAAGATATAAATTTACTAGTTGAATTTCAATTAGAAGTCTTTGCATTGTTGGTGAATGGGATGCGAAAATAAGTATCATGATTTAATAAATGCAATCGAGGGCCTACTTCTTCTGTTTGAATCTACCTATCTTTGACAAGCATCTTTTCCAGTTATGACAGCCATTAACTTTCACTAAAAAGTGTGATTTTTAAAATGTTCTTCATTTTTAAATTTCAACCTTTTAATATTTCTACACTAGTGTTGTATAAGGTATATAATAAAATGCATGTAAATACTTGTTTTAAAAAATAAATTACATAGACCTAAGCGGGAGCTGCCGAAATGAAGTTCAATCCCTTTGTGACTTCCGACCGAAGCAAGAATCGCAAAAGGCATTTCAATGCACCTTCCCACATTCGCAGGAAGATTATGTCCTCCCCTCTTTCCAAAGAGTTGAGACAGAAGTACAACGTGCGATCCATGCCCATCCGAAAGGATGATGAAGTTCAGGTTGTACGAGGACACTATAAAGGTCAGCAGATTGGCAAAGTAGTCCAGGTTTACAGGAAGAAATACGTAATCTACATTGAACGGGTGCAGCGGGAAAAGGCTAATGGCACAACTGTCCATGTAGGCATTCACCCCAGCAAGGTGGTTATCACTAGGCTAAAACTGGACAAAGACCGCAAAAAGATCCTTGAACGGAAAGCCAAATCTCGCCAAGTAGGGAAGGAAAAGGGCAAATACAAGGAAGAAACAATTGAGAAGATGCAGGAATAAAGTAATCTTATATACAAGCTTTGATTAAAACTTGAAACGAGGAAAAAAAAAATAAATAAATAAATTACATATATTAAGAAGACATTATTAGTATTATTATTTTGAAATGGAGTTTTGCTCTTGGTGCCCAGGCTGGGGTGCAGTGATGGGGTCTCAGCTCTCTGCTGAGTTCAAGCGATTCTCCTGCCTCAGCCTCCAGAGTAGCTGGGATTACAGATGCCCGCCACTGTGCCAGGCTAATGTTTCCTATTTTTAGTGGAGACGAGGTTTCACCATTTTGCCAGGCTGGTCTCGAACTTCTGACTTCAGGTGATCCACCCGCCTCAGTCTCCCAAAGTGCTGGGATTATAGGCATAAGCCACCACACCAGGCCAAGAAAACATTATTTTAAAATGTTTGGCAACCAGTGGTCTGTCCCCACAGAGTAGTGTCCACATTTGAGAGCATCATTTTTGCAGGTAGTATGGGAAAGACCCGATGAAGTCAGCAACAATCTAGGCTGTGCTTCAAGTGCCGGGGAGATCACCTGTTTGGGGTTCTGGCCTAGGGATTGGTGGAGACAGGGTGAAGGCAGCAGGTCCTTTTATTTGCCAAGTGCTCCCTAGCACTTACTTGATAACCTGATATACCTGATATACATTAAAGGCAAAGTTCCTGGTTCATAGTAGGTCTTCAATTGATCCTTATTTGTTTCTTTTTCCTCTTGCAATTTGCATAGCTACCACTTCTAACACTGGCAAGGTCATTCCGGAGCTCAAAAACGTGTATGGATAATTTACATATACACATCCCCCCACTCCCAGAACAATCCAGGTAGTGTGAAAGGAAGAGAACATATGCAAACACCCCACTGCCTGCAGAGTATTTACAATGGCATCTACCTAGGCAAGAAGGCAAAGTCCACTCACGAGTCCTAGTGACAGTTTCCTTTTTAATGATTATTTTTTATTTTATTTTATTTGTTTGAAATGGAGTCTTGCTCCGTTGCCCAGGCTGGAGTGCAGTGGCGGGATCTCAGCTTGAAATCCGCCTCCCGAGTTCAAGCGATTCTCGTGCCCCAGCCTCCTAAGTAGCTGGGATTACAGGGGCGCGCCACCGCGTCCTGCTAATTTTTGTATTTTTAGTAGAAACGGGGTTTCACCATGTTGGCCAGGCTGGTCTCGAACTCCTGAGCTTGGGTGATCCGTCCGCCTCGGCCTTATCTTAATGATTTTTAATCATAAAGCTTGGGACCTTCTGACTAATGTCATGTTACTTGTAAAGATGTAGAAACTGTGATTCTGCGAGAGGGGGGCATGAAAACAGAATTGCTCTGGAAAGGCTCTTCCACAGAGTTCAAAGACACTTTACACAGCCTGGTGTCAAGATGCCCAAGCCAAGCCTAGAGGAAACAGCGAAAGGTCTTCCCCCAAAGTCGGTGGTATTAGAAGTGGGTAGGACCACAGAAACGGGAGGAAACAGAAGAATTAACACAACGAAGGAGGCCGCAACAAATGTTTGAAAAATAAGATCAGAAAAGAGGTGGAGAGAGGGTGAGCTGTGGCTGCGGGCGCCCGGGTAATGCCGGTGGACGCCAAGAGGTAAACCCGTACCCGTGGGCAGGGGCACGGGGCGCGGGCACCGTGTTGGGGCGGGCAGAGGGTCGAAGACAAAGGTCGGCTTCGGAGCAGAAGTCAATAAAAGGGGGAAGCAGCCGAGGAAAAGCGGCAAGAAGGCGGCAGGGGTGGCGGCGGCGGGGACGGCGCGCAGTGCCTGGCGGGGTCAGGGCCGGGGTCGCCCGCGGGCCGAGCCGGGCCGGGGACCCGCTAGGCCGCGCCGAGGGGCAGGGCCGGCGACTGAGGGGCCGCAGAGAGGACCGGCCGAGGCGCTTCGGCGAGAGGTCGCGGGGGGCAGGGCGCGCAGGAAGGCCGGGACAGGGGCGGGCCAGTCGGCGGGAGTCGCTGCCGCGGGAACCGAGGCCGGCGAGGGCGGTTAGCTTCCCGCCCCCGCCCCCGGCCGCCGCGGCGTGAGGGGAAAGGCCGGCGGGCTGCGGGCAGCGCGGCGAGAAGGAGGAGCCTGCGGCCCCGCCCCGCCGGAGCGAGGGAAGGAGAAAGGCTCGCAGGGAAGGAGGAGGGAGTGAAAGGGGCGGCCGGCCGGGCCTGAGCCCGAGCGAGCGGCGAGCCGAGGGGGAAGGGGCCCGGAAGGAGGCGAGCACGGCCGCGACGCCGGCAGTCTGACGCCCGCTCGTGCCGGCCTGCCGCAGCCGCCGCCGCCTTCCCTGTGCTCCGAGCCCGGCGTCCCGAGCGGCGGCGAAGGCCGGAACACGGCGGTCGGGCGCGGGGCGAGCGGCGCCGGGAGCCGGAGGCCCGGCCGGGCGTCCTGCGCGAGGCACGGCGGGCTCCTGTCTGCGAGATTAGGCGAGGGGCGGAAAGGGAGGCAAGGAGAGGCCGAGGGGAGGCAGGCGATCGGATTTTCCAGGAGGCTGGTGTGGAAGAAAAACCCACCCCGAACTCAAATCCGCAATCATAATCCGAACGAATAATAAGGGAGCCGTCTTTCTGGCCGAGCGAGAGAGAGGGAGAGAGAAGGGGGAACGGGAGGAAGCGAAATCTCCGTTTCATGGAGGCTGAGGCAAGAGAAAATTTCGGAGCCTGGATGTGGAGGAGCCCAACAGCAGAACTAACTCAGGAAATTGTCTTTCAGAAAAAGGCCGAACGTAGGCTGGGTCTGAGAATCAGTCTGGGGTAGGTGGAGGAACCTGCAAGTTTAAAGGAAAAAGAAAGGGAGAGAATATTTTCAGAGATTGTCTCTGGTTTGTGATCATTGCTACCATCTTAAGGTAAAAAGCATTGCATTTCAGGTGTTCTTTGATTTTTTTTTTTTTTTTTTTTTTGGTGCAATTGGCTCGTTTAAGAATTTCAAAACATTTAATGTAAAAGCTTTTTTTTTTTTTTTTAAGTCCATAAATTTTGGTTCCCAGGGTTGCATTGGACTTGGAAGGAGTGCTGTCGTGTACATACTATTGTATGGTTTTATTTATTTTTTTTTACTGTGCAAATCAGCTGAAAGGTTTTTTTCCGAGTGCCATTTCGGATTTATTAATCCTTTTTTTTTTCCTTTTCTGAAATATATTTGCTGTTGTCACATTAAGCATTGGAGACTGGAAAAATATTTTTCACCCTTTGAGCTAAAGGGTCTCTTGCCCACAGAAGGACAGCTGAGAAAACTGGATTTAAAGGATGGTGTTATCTGTACTTTGCAGTTAACAGTGATATTTTGAAGGCACATTTTTCTGTGATTCATTTTTTAGCCCATAGTGCTAACCTTGAAGAGATTTGTGGCTGGGTTTTTGGTTTCTGAGAAGGTCATAGTTTTTCCTCTTTTTCCTTTCTTTTTTTTTTTTTTTAAGTGGGGGAGGGGAAGAGGGGCTGAGAAAGGAAATCATGCTCGCTGGTAGAAGTAGAGTGGAGCATCAGTTACCAGGGTCCTGAGAGCTGGAGGAGAAAGGATTCAATCTTCAAGTTGGGAGACCCTCCTCTCACCTTGCTTAAAAACTGCAAGCGATTCAGTCGTGATCAAGACACCAAAGCTGCAGGATTCTGGAACCGTGGAGACACCGAGAAACCATGAGTGTAAGGTTACCCCAGAGTATAGACAGGTAGGTTTGCTGATAATTTGATTTTTCGACATTGACTAAAGGAAAGACTGGGAGAGAGGGTGTTGCATTTTAATGAATGGTTGAAAATGAGGGTCTGGGTGGGCTGTGGGCACTGGTGGGCTAGGAGCATTCGTCTCTGGAGACTGTCAGCCTGTGTGGTTATGTGCTCTCTGTGTGTCTGTGTTCAAAACACAGCTTTTGATTCCGCGTCTTTTGAGTATAAGCTATAAACAGTGAAGCCAGGAGAGGGGAAGGAGTGAGAAATGTTTCCAGTGGTTTATGACTTTTGCCAGGATGGAGGCTGAATTTGAGTCCCCCCCAACTTGCCAGCCTCAGGTGGGTGCAAACGTGTCTTGTGAGCCCCTAGGGGGACTGGCTTTAAGTGTTGGAGCTGCTGGGAGAAGGGTCCTGGGAGGGTCGTGGGTCTTCACCAGGCTGGTTGTTATGGAATGTTGGGGCTTGGCGATGGGGTAGATCTCATTTCTAGAAATGAAGAGGATGTTCTTGGCCTGAATGATGGGACAGAAACATCCTTTGCACCCATACAGGTCTGGATTTTTACCAGTAGCTGACATGGCCCCAAAATGCATAGGTCACATTAGAATTTCCTCTCCTCTGAGCTTAGAGTTTAAATTGAGACCTGCCAACCAACTGATGCTCTAGGTTTAATCTTCCAAGCCATTCTTAATAAGCTTGACTCTGCAAAATGGGCCTTCCCTCTGGCTCGAGCCGGAAGGAGTTGTTTTGGGCTCGTAGGCCTGCTGGGCAGCAGCACTGCCCTCAGAGTCTGAGCACATGATGCCCCTTCCCCCAAGAGTCTGCCCAGCCACCTCTATCACTGGTAGTGTTACAGTGTGGTTGCAATTCTTTCCTCCAGTGTGGTTGCAATTCTTTCCTCCAAATGATTGGTACAACTTTGCAAGCTGCTTGTCTTTTCCTTCCCTCCCCTACCCCTCCTCAACCCTTCTCCCCATAAGAATCTTGCGGGGTGGTGGTGGTGGGGGGTGTTTTGTGGGCACTGCACACATCCTAACTGGATAGATGGGTGGTTGAAGGACTGAATAAGCAAATGAAAGGACTGGGCCTGGAAAAAATATTATTGGAGAGATAATGAAGAATATTTGCAAGGATGCAATTGCTCCCTTCATGCCCAGTCCATCTTCGGTTATCCATGCTATTAATTTCCTTTTGGCTGTGGAATGTGGCCTAAAATGCATATAATCTCTCTTTCCCAAGCACTAATCTCTGCATTGCCTCAGAGTCCCATTTAGATTAGTTCAGCAGTCCCTAGATGGGAACTGACTTGGCAGTGCAGAAGAGGAAGCAGGCAGGCACAAGGATATATGGCCAGTTCAGACCTCCCTCCCCCTTTCTGTTGGGCCTCTCTGCAGTTTGACCCTTGGAAAGGGAGAACTGAGGCACGTCAAGGTGAGGAGTTGGAACGGTTTATATGGCTGCCCTTCTTCCCTTTTCATCCTCTTGGAATTTGAGAATTAGTGTACTTGGCCTTTTTAAGATTTGAATGCTGAACTCTTTCTGGTAAATTCAGGGATTTGAGAAGATGGAAACCCAAGTTTTAGGGGTGCAAGAAGGAGGAGGCAGTGAGGGTTCCTGGATTGATGTGAGACACTCCTCTGGGAATTTGGATATCCTCATAGATAAAAATCTCAGGATTTGCCCAGCACATTACAGTTTCCTAAGTGCTTTCACAAAACATAATCTCATTTGGATCTTGCAGTGGTTCTGTGAGGTAGACAGAAACATCAGAGGTTATTGTTCACGTTTCACAGAAGGGAAAACTGAGGCTCAGATACCCAGCTTGCCCAGTGCCATCTTGCCTGGCTAGTGACAGAATCTGCACTTAAAGATTCAAAGACAGGTCTGAATCTGTGGCTCTTTCATTGACCCTTCATATCTAACTGGGCTTCTATACTGGGCCTGTAGAATGTGTGCAGCACCGTTTTCTTCTTTCTCTTTGGCAGTAGGGTAATTGCCCATCAGCAGTCAAGGTCTTCCCTTCCATTTTCCTGTCTTGGGGCTCCTACCTGGGGGGTTCAGTCTTGGGTTTATACCTCTAAGTCCTATAGTTAAAACACTTTTCTCCTATGAGATAGTGCAGCTTTGCAGGGTAAGGGTATTCCTCACCTTCACCCTGCCTGATCCTCTTTCCTGTTAAGAGTGAGTGCTAAGACTCAGATTCCCTTCAGCTATCCCCAGATACCTGAGTGCTGGGACTCAGGTCCCCTTCAGACATCCCCAGCTAGATGCACTGAATCCTCCCCCCTTAGCTGTAGGCCTATTCGATCAGAACTTTGGACATCAGGCTCAAGACTCTATGGATTTTAAATAATTTACAGTCTTAAATCACACTGAAAGGAATAAAATGCTGCAGATAATGGAGTCTAGTATTCTTTCAGTTTATCAGTTTGCTGTGTAGAGAACCTAGTGTAAGGTGCTATAAGAGAGTTTTAGAAAATTAAGGTGACAGTTCTTGCCCACAGAAAAAGCATGCAACTGGGGGACTTAGAAAGATGTAAGACTCCTGAAGACCACATTAAGCAACACCAGACTGTAAGCTCCATGCAAGCAGGGACAGTTTGGTTTGCTTGTGTTATATTCTGCGTGCCTAGCTTGATGTGTTGCATGTGGTGAGTACTCGAGAAATGTTTGACAAATGAATGTTGGAATGAATGAACGGATCTTCAACTATAAATTCTTTCATTTCAGGTTGTTTCAACATTCACATGTTAATTTCAAATGTAGTCAAATGGGGTCAGTTAGAGAAGGTTTGCTAGGTAATCTGTATTTTCTAGAAGATAAACGACATAATAAAGGGCTACGTATTTGGAAAGAGATTATAGCTCAGAGTAAGAAGACTTTGGAATATTTACTTGGCAGTCTTTTATCCCCTGTAGCACCCTGTTCGAGAGTGACTCCTGGGTCCATAGAAAGCATAAAGTATTTGCAACTAATCTTTATCTTTCAGTGTTAATCAGTTATTACTGATAGATGGGCTAAAGTGTAGCTGTTCATGTCCCTTTCAGTTTTTGTCCATGAGCAACTTACTGCCTATTAATAGATATTCCTTTCAAGAGTTTCTAAAAATGTGTTTGCTGTTGCAGAGATGATGATACTGAATTATTTTTCATGGGAGTGGTCAAGAGTTTTGCTTAGCCATCTGTATCCTTTAGCCTGGTTCCCCATGGCAGATGTTTTTGAGATGGACAAGTGGGTTAGGGGTTTGCATCGGTGAAACATCTTTCCTCTGCCCAAAGTTAGTTCATATGAGGATCAAAGCAAAGTCTTTAGGCCAAGAGTTTGTGGTTTGAGTCCTGGCTTTCCCCTTAACTATGTGACCTTGGGCAAGTCACATGCCTCCTCTGGCTTCCTCATGTGTAAAGCAGTAGTAGCTAATTTCTGTGAAGTGCAATCCAGTTCTGAAACATTTTTATATGGTGTGTCATTTGAGGAGTATGATGTTTATTTCATCTCTCTCACAGACCTGTTGAAAAGAGCAAAACAAACAAGATATGTATTTCATTTTCTAAACTGTAAACTCTATGTGAATTTTAGATGGTAAATTCACAGATTTGATTTAGCCATGTGAACAACTTTCTGACCTAAGTAGCCCAAACCAAATTAAAGGTGACTGAAATCTTTACATCATTTTGAAGAATTTAAGCAAAGTGAACTGGCTTTATTGTTGCAGAAGTGCATGGGGTCAGGAGGAAGGAATTTTTTTCCCAATAGACAGGGTACTAGAAGAGTATGAGAAGAGAAAGGTTACTGAATCTCCTTCCCAGGAATTCTGATGATGAGAGACTTCATCTACCTCAGCTCAACTTAAATGTTTGTCATTGATGGGGCCGCAAAGGATTTGTTCTGTGATCTCTGGCCATTCCTTGTCTTAAAAGCATATGACTTTCCTAATTCAAAATAAATCCAGACCCAGCAACTGTTCCCTGTCAGGGATCTCTTCTCATCTTTGCTTCTGGTCATTATTGAGCTCTGGGACCGAGAAGTCCCCATTTAGCTGAGCTTCTACCTTGATGAGAAGGTTGGCCTCCCAGCATGGTGACAGGGATCCAGAGCTACACATGGTAAGTCCCCTGAAATGCTGAGTCGTTTCCATCTAGGGGTGTGAGAGAAGAGACACAATGATTTGCAACTGAAACATTTGGTGATTAATCACCATTATGCGTAGGAGCAGACTAAGCTTAACTTGAGACACTCAGAAGCATTTCTGAAAGAATGCCCTTTGATTATTCTGTTTGCTCAGCTTTTTTAATAGATAAGAAATAAGAAAAATTAAATGACAGCACGAGTTCATAAAAAATAAAAAGATTTTGTGAATGGTACATAGCTAATCCCCAAGTTGGTGTAAAGGTCAAGGAGTTCTAGAAGCTCACAGCCTCTGTGGACTGGAGTTTAGAAACTCTAGTTTGTACAGTGTTTCTTGCTGCCTTAAAGTTTTGATAACCTGATGTATGTGAAAGGACTTTGTTAACTGTTGAGTTCTATAAACATAAGAGGAGTTGTTTTAATCTGTATTGACTGAATCTGTTTCACCTCTTCATAGTGGCATTGCCTTTAAAAATCCATTTTATTTATGATTTTTTAAACTGAATTCGAAGATATATCACGTGGCTTGGAAACTCTCTTTGCTGTGGACTGTGTTCTTTTGTCAATCACTGCACTGGGAAAAGACCCAAGCATCGACCCTCTAGTGGCATGCAGGATCATTCCTTTGCCCGCCCCATGGGGTAAACAGGACTGAAGAAGTTACTGAGCCTGGTCTCAAAAAGAAAAAAGTATAACTTCATAAAAAGTCATGTTGGATTTTTTGTGAAAGGAGGTTTGGAGTTCTGAGGAAAAAACACAGCGTCTGAGCTAATAGATGTGGATGTTGGGGCCACCTTTGTTAGCAGCTGAGTGAATGACCTTGCAAAGGTGCTTACCTGCCCTGGACCTCAGATTTCTTATCTGGACAAATGAGGGAATTAGACTAGCCAGGTTCTAAGATTTTATTCCTTTTAGCTATTACATTCTTGGGGCCTCTGAAAACAGAATGCCTTGTGTCTTTTCAGTGGGCAAAACAGTCTTTCAGAAATCGTTATCTCACTTTCCTGAAAACTAGTGAAAGTGAAAGTTTGAAAAGAACAGAGAACAAAGCTGCCTGATCAAATGGGAGAAAAGATGGAAGTACAGGGACATGGAAACATGGGAGGAACTGAGAGATTTGTGACCCCCAATAGAATTGGAATAGGATTTGGAAGGTGATTTTGTTTTGTTTTTTGAGACAGGGTCTCACTCTGTCGCCCAGGCTGGAGTCCAGTGGCGTGACCACGGTTCACTGCAGCCCTGACCTCCCCGGGCTCAGGTGATCCACCCACTTCAACCTCCTGAGCAGCTGGAACTACAGGCATGTGCCACTATACCTAGCTAATTTTTGTATTGTTTAGATACGAGGTTTACCATGTTGCCCAGACTGGCCTCACACTCCTGAGCTCAGGCAGTCTACCCACCTCAGCCTCCCAAAGTGCTGGGATTATGGGTGTGAGCCACCATGCCAGGCCTGGAAGGTGTTCTTAAGGTCTGGAAGAACACCCCGATTTATCCTACCAAAACAATTGGACAGATTTCAGTGAAAAATCACAAAAATCTGGCAGGACCTTAAGGGATCCTTTTGCCCTTTCCTCTTGACTCCAATAAGCGTCTCTTAAGCTAGTAAAGACAGGCTGAGGGCTTCTCCCATTTTCAGTTGTCTATGGAGGGCGATTCCATGAGTTCAACAATTAGAAATCCCTTTGGATACCAAACTTCCTCTGCTAGGATTTAAAACCATTTTATTGTTTTTCTATTCTGATTTCAGCATAGGCCTTAAAGTCACTAATATCCCTCTATTACCTTTGTTGACTTCCTTAAGATTTTCCTCCTCATTTTAAAGAATAGCAAACTAAGACATGAATGTGTGAAAAAGGGGCTTTGAAAAGGCAGAGTGAAATAATTTCAGAGTCTTTCTTTCCAGCCGTTGCTCCTTTCTCTCCTTTACTTGGGAGCAGCCCCTACAAAATGGTGTGATGGGATCTGTAGTCAACAGTCACAGCCTGGCCTCAAATCACATAGGGAACCAATCTAGCAGCCCTCCAGGTGATGACCTGTGATCTGTGGTGCCTGACAGTCGGTTGGTTGGACTCAAAATGTTTATCAGATGGCTCAGTGCCCAGCACAGTTCTCACTGTTCTGAGAGATAGTACATGAGAATGTAGAGCTTACATTCTTTTTTTTTTTGAGACAAAGTCTCGCTCAGTTGCCCAGGCTGGAGTGCAGTGGTATGATCTTGGCTCACTACAGCCTCTGCCTCCAAGCGATTCTCTGCTTCAGCCTCCTGAGTAGCTGGGATTACAGGTACATGCCACCACACCTGGCTAATTTTTGTATTTTCAATAGAGACAGGGTTTCACCATATTGGCTAGGCTGGTCTTGAACTCCTGATTTCAACTGAACCGCCCGCCTAGACCTCCCAAAGTGCTGGGATTACAGGCATGAGCCACCACACCCGGCCTCAAGCTTACATTCTTGTTGGGAAATGTTATTAACAAAACAACACAAAATAAAAAGATGGTACATATTGCTGAATTGTTATGTACACCAAAATGTACATTTAGAAAAGAGCCGAAGGTCGGTGCTAATGAGAATAGCCATAGGTGTAGTAGTTAGGAATTATTCAGGTCGAAGAAAGAGAGGAGGCCATTTCAGACTAGAGAAGCGACGGAAGCAAGGTAGCGCCAACACGGTGTGGTCTGCAAGTGTTAAGGTGATTATAGAGCAGAGAGAAATTAGATTGATAAGGTGGGTAGGGTAGGGAGAATAAAGGGATTCAGACTTTATGTGATAGTAGAAAGGGAGGCAGGGAAGGTTTATATATCATACAGTGATGAAAATAGTGTTTCAAGAGAGAATTCTGATATCAATATGTAGAGCGGAAGAGAGCTTGGGGTTAGGAAGCCTAGGAGTTTTGTAGCAATCTTAGGAAAAGACAATGAGCTTCTGAATCAGAATGGTTATGGAGGGGACAAAGAGGAGCGGCAAGATTCCCAAGACATTTTGGTATTAGAATTAACCAGTATTTTAAGGCTGAATCAGTTGTTTGTTTGTTTGTTTGTTTGTTTTCTGAGACAGAGTTTTGCTCTCCTTGCCCAGACTGGAGGGCAATGGCACAATCTTGGCTCAATGCAACCTCTGCCTCCTGGGTTCAAGCAATTCTTCTGCCTCAGCCTCCCATGTAACTGGGATTACAGGCACCTGCCCCCATCCCCGGCTGATTTTTTTGTATTTTTAGTAGAGACGAGGTTTTGCCATGTTGGCCTGGCCAGTCTCAAACTTCTGACCTCAGGTGATCCGCCCACCTCCGTCTCCCACAGAGCTGTGAGCTTACAGGTATGAGCCTCCATGCCCTGAATTAAATTTTATTCCTAAATTTATGAGACTGGTGGACCAGGAAAAGCGTAGTACTATTGATGGAATAGGATCTTTAGTAAAAGTCGTTTTGTCTGCCATTGATACCTAGCAATTTACTGAATACAGTGGATACTTAACCTTCCTAAGACCCTTAGGTTAGACCATTTCTACCAAATAGTTTTAGAGTTCTTCAGTACAACCCTTTAAGAGAAGTGGAAGTCCAGGTGGGGTGGCTCACACACTTATTAATCCCGGCACTTTGGGAGGTGTGTGGATTACCTGAGGTGAGACATTTGAGACCAGCCTGGTCAATATGGTGAAACCCCGTCTTTACTAAAAATACAAGAATTAGTCGGGTGTGGTGGTGCACACCTGTAGTCCCAGCTACTTGGGAGGTTGAAGCAGGAGAATCATTTGAACCCGGGAGATGGAGGTTTCAGGGAGCTGAGATTGCACCACTGCACTCCACCCTGGGCAACAGAGTGAGACTCCATCTCAAAAAAGCAAACAAACAAAAAAAACAACAGAAAAGAAAAGTGAGCAGAGTCAGTTTTGGGAGCTCCCTTAGGAAGCTGGATCATGGTTTGAGGAGATGAGCATATATCTGATGGGTCCTGATTAATCAGCCATATCTCATTCCCACACAGCTGACCAAGCTCCAGGGCTGGAGGGCCATCTATGTAGAAGCCATTCTAGTAGCCTAATGTGGAGAACATAGGACTTTAAGTGAGCCCCAGCTCAGTGGCTGACTAGCTGTGTGATCAGGATAATTTGTGTAGAAGCATTTTGTGAATTCCATGGTGCCAAACATATGCTGAGTGTTGTTAGAGCATTTGGGTTGGCAGGGACCCCAGATTGTCCTAAACTCTCCTCAGCTGCTACTAGAATACTAGAATGCTTGGGTTACCCTCAGTCCTGTGCTGATTCTCAACTAAGGATGGACAGGCATGTGTGGGACTGTACTGAACAAATGCAGGACAATAGTTGGAAATCAGGGGCCTAAGTGCTCACCCCAAGGCAGATCCTTTGCTAGACACACACAGTGTCTTTTCTTTCTAGCCCAGGTTCCCCAGCTTGGGATTCATGACTTTCTTCAGTTTAGCCCACATCTCACTAATCGTAGGTCGCATTACTGTACCCTGTCACCCTGCTTCAGGTAGACCAGCCTGATTTCTGGGCCCACATCTCTCTTTGCACACCTTTGTATCGGTGTTCTCTGTCTTCCCCTGACTCCATTGCTCTTATTTCCTCAAGGAAGCCTTTGCTGGTTAATATCACCAAACCCTACACGTTTATATTACTCAGCATTCCGTTTGCACATACATACCGCAGTTCAACTCTGATTTACTTGTATAAAATAATTTGTGTAAAAGTTCTGGCAGAATGTCTTAGCATGTGGTAGACTGTTAGGTTGGTTCAATTCCACTCTTTTATATGGTTCTTGTGTTTTATCCTGTTCCTAAGGGTTCAAGAGCAGCGTCTCCTCATTGTTCTGGGTTGTCGTCTTCGGCCCAGCTTAGTTCTCTTTAGACAGCTAAGAGTTGTCCCTACATGTTCTTTCCTGACTCAGAACGTAGCTCATTCTTGATATTGCTGATTCCTTCTATGCCTAGCCAAGGGATTTTAAGAAAGCAAGCTCTAAACACTCGTGCCAGGAACTAAGACCAAAATTCCTCTTGTTCTCATTGGGTGCTAGGTCTTTGGTACTTGGTATTTCTTCCAGGGACAGAGCAGCCTTGTTGGGGTTGCCTGCCTTCAGCCTCTCAGAGTTCTGGGGATTTCCCCATTGGCGGCTTGGTTTCCGGGCTGCCTTTCCCTGCAGGGGTCTGATGGGCACAAGGCCTACCCTGCCATTGTCCCGCCTGCCCTAGGCTGGCCCCATTTATTTCCCAGAGCAGGGCCTTCAGAAGCTTCCCCCCAAGAGACTGCTGCTGCAGAGAAAGGCCACTGTTGTTCTGGGGGGAGGTGGCTGGAGAGAGTGTAGTAAATAGCTGAGTGAATAGGACCTTGTGTGCAGCTAGAACCACAGACCCTCTTCCCCTCAGAGCACTAGGGAGAGGGGAAAAAATACCACTAGGATTTCAGTGTCTTCACAGGAACAGCGTTTCAGGTTTGGGAACATTCATGCCACCCCTCAAATAGGAAGCTTGGTCTGTTTAACAAGTCTTCACTTATCGTAGTGCTAGACATCAAGGATTCAACCAGAATACATTGCATATGTTGCCCTTAAGGAGCTTATGATTTTGTGGAGGGAGACAGAAGTAAGCATGGTAGCACCCAAACTTATTCCTGTGGTAATAGTTGAAGCACTGGGAGACACCTGAAGAAGGTTTCCTAGAGGGAAGGACCTTTACATTGAGGCCAAAAATAAAAGCCAGGCTGGAGACAGGGAAAATCCAGGCAGAGGGAGCAGCAGGTACAGAAGCCTCAAGCAAGAAAGAGCATGGTGTTGTGAGAATTGCAGGTGGCTGTGACCTGTGGTGAGACCATAGAACCATTAATTAAATGAAACCGGAGAAAAGGAAAACGGGTAGGACAGGGCCTGAAGACCACGAAATGCTCTGTCCTAGAGGTTTTGGACTTGCTCCTGAGGGCAGTGGAAGACCATTGTGAGATTTTAAATAGGGGGTGACGTGATCAGATATGCTTTTACAAAAGCAAGATCATCCTGGCTACAATGTAGACATGGGATTAAAAGAGTGAAAGAGTGGAGGGAGGGAAGATGGGTTAGGAGACCCTTGCAGTAACCCGGACAAGAGATGAGTGTGGTCTCTGCTACAGAAGCGACTTCGGCGGAGATGGAGAAAAATGAGAGATCAGAGATTATGAAGTTGATTATATGGGCATGGGGGAGGCAAGGGTTATATGGGGATGAAGGAGAGTGTGCGGCAAGGAAGACACCGTATCTCTTGTCTTGGGCTACTGGGTAGTACTATTCAATAAGAAAAGGAACTCTAGGGGCAGGCGCCATGTCTGGCCAGGAAGGTGGCAAGAAGAAGCCCTTGAAACAGCCCAAGAAGCAGGCCAAGGAGATGGACGAGGAAGATAAGGCTTTCAAGCAGAAACAAAAAGAAGAGCAGAAGAAACTCGAAGAGCTAAAAGCAAAAGCCTCGGGGAAGGGGCCCCTGGCCACAGGTGGAATTAAGAAATCTGACAAAAAATAAGCTGTCCCTTGTCCCTGAGGAGATGGTGACCCATTATTTCATCTGTATTTAAACATCTGTATTCCCTGCCATAGCATCTTTTGCCACCTATAGCTGGAATTAAGTGTTGTCTTGGAGCTGTCGTACATTTAAGAATAAACTTTTATGTTAAAAAAAGAAAGAAAAGGAACTCTAGGAAGAACATAACATGGTTGAGGGAGAGAAGAGGAGAGGGGTCAGCATCCCTTTGGACATGGTGGGTTTGAAGTGCCTGTGGGAGATCCAAGAAGGATGTTCAACAGGCAACTGGACCTTGGGCCGGAGGTCAGGAGGGTGTTCTGGGATAGAGAGTCACATTAGCAGGTTGTCAACACCTAGCCAGAGCAGTGGAGGCATAAGACTGTCCAAGGGCAGGGTATAGAGAGAGGAGAGGGCTGTGCACAGAACCCGGAGAGCCATACATTTAAAAGGGAGGTGAAGGAAGGTGAGCCTGCAGAAGAGACTGGCAGGGAGTGACAGAAGGAGCCAGGGCAGTGAGGAGCCTCTGGAGTGAAGGGAGGGACCCATGTCAAGTTCTCCTAAGAGGTCATGGACAAAAAGGACAGAGAAATGCCTGGACTTAGTAACTAGGAGGATGTTCATGACCTCGGTGAGTGATATCTGGGCAGGAGCAAGGGCAGAAGCCAGTTTGCAGCAGATCCAAGTGAGAACAGGTGAGGAAATGGTGATGGACACAGTCTAGTCAATTCTTTCATCAAGTTTCTTCAGAAAGGAAAAACAAATGTAGCTCCTGGTCCTATCAGTAGGACTTTATTTTTTTTCAAGGTAGGGACATATTACCCTAGGTCAGAGGTGCTCAACCTTTAGAATACTTTAGAATCAGCTGGAGAACTTGTTAAAATACAGGTCTGTGGGCCCCATCCCAAACATTCTGACTCTGTGTGTTTGAGCTGAGGTTGGGGCCTGAGGATCTGCATTGTTACCAACTTCCCAGATGATGCCAGTGCTGGCATTCTGTGCTTCCAGAGTCACTGCCTTATGACATTCATGCTCTTAACAGACTCTTTTTACGTTCTTAGAACAGAACTTTTGTTCATTGTCTATTTCAAAACTTGTTAGTGGCTCTATTCTGCTGGGAATTGCTTCAGTGGATTGTGAATACCTTGGAGCAGACTGGTGGTTTTGTAAGCTTAACGTAAGCTCCCCATCTGGGAAACCTTGCTTAGCCCATTTCTGCTTACCTCTGACATAGATGCAAATAAATCCTGTCTACTAGAGATCTCTAAGGATGGTGGGTTTACAGGATTTTTTTGTGATTTCAAAATTAAAGCCCAGAAGAGTCATACACTAGATAAATGTCAAAACTTATAGTAAATGTCAAAATCAAATATACATAATTTTAATAATTCAGTTTTGGGTTAAGAGAGAATAAATTTCCTCAAACTGATCCCAGATTCTGAATTTTCCAGTGGGAAGGATCCTTGGAATATCATTGTTACCTCTTAGCATGTTGTTAGAGCTCTTAAAACCTGGTTCCTGCACTAGAGCTTACAGCCCCAGGACATGCTTCCACAGAGTGGGTGGTTGTTCTACCCCTGCGGGTGTCCGCACCCTGACTATGGCTTCTCTACTCAAGGGGTGGGAGTAGGGATCCCATGCAGTTCTGGGGTTCTATTCTAGAGCCTTTGCCACTTCCCTTGAAATTGGGTTCAGGACCACACACTGTGGTTTCTGAGAGTCCCCTGACCTTGACACCTCTTCCTCCTCTTCTGCTTCTCTTTTTGCCCTGTGCATCAGTGGGCCATTTCTCATCATTTCCAGGTTCTCCAGACCAATAGCTCTGAGTCTGAGATGCAGGTGTGGGTCAGAGGATAGAGGTAGGTACATGACACGGCCTGGAAATTCCTGTGCCAGAGGGTTTCCTAAATAACACTTCAGGGCTTAGGATCATTTAATTCAGCAATCGGAAACCCAGAGGAAATCCTAGTTCTCTTAGCTCAGTCTAGGTCAGGGCTGATGGTTACACTTCTGCTGTAGTTCATGCCTGGAGACATCCTTTTGCTCATCCTGAACTTGAGGCCTGGCAGGTTGAGGAAGAACTGGGCAGGATAGAGGGGGAGAGACCACTCCCTCATTAAGATCTTACTTCCATTTGTTGTTCTGGCCTATGGGAATCTTAAAATTCAGTTAACACATTTGCCGAATACCTATTAAATGTTAGGCAACATTCCAGGCACTGAGGATAGATACACTGGAACTTTTGTTCTGTTGGGGCAAGACAGACAACAAGCAAGTGTATAAAATTATTATGATTAGTTGTGATCCAAAGTGTAAATGCATTTTGTAAGACCTGGGTTTATGACTGCTGTGGGAGAGGCAGGAGGAAAGATGTGACAGGTTTAAGGGAAGAATTACAGTCAAGAAGAGAAGTCTGTTTCTAAAGTGGAGGTGGGGGACATAATTCATGGGAAGAGAAGGATGAAAGCTTTAGGACCAAGATTACAGTACAATGATAATGAGGCTTCTTTGTATTTCTGCAGCACGGTTCGTAGTTGGCCAAGTGTCTTTTGTCCATTATCTCATTGAGGTGGTCCAGGGCAAGCATTTTCACTTTCATTTTATAGGTAGGGAAACATGCCCAGGGAGACTTTAGTAACTTACTTAAGGTCTACAAACTAAAAAGTAATGGAGTTGGAATTAAAAAAAAAATCTGTGCCTACCGAGCCCTCACGTAGTGCTGTTCCTCTTTTCCTGTACCCCTGTCAAGGCTTGGTGGTAAAAATGTGTACTTCTTAAGGGAGCTGGACATCAGATTTGCCTGAAAGTAGTGAAAGGTAACCTCTAGGAAAGAGGTAGGTAAACCAGGAGTCAAGTCCCCCAAGTTCTTCTGTCTCTTCCCAACACAGTCTCCTTGTCCGTGGCCCCTTTAGGACCTGAGGTTTGCATTCACTGTCTAAGAAGAGGATAATTTCGTGTCTTTTGCCTCCTCATTGGTTAATGGTGGGGAGAGTGGCACGCTGGGGCCTGGGAAAGACACAGTCTCCTCAATAGTCGCCCAGCACTCTACCACTTAGCAGTGCAGCGTCTTTAAGCTACTCAGGGACCCTATCTTTGTGTACACTGTGGTGCCTGGGACTGTGTAGTGAACGGATGCTCAGGATAGTTTTATTGAAAAAAAAGATACAGTTTTTTAGTTAACAGCTTTACTGAGATAGACCGTACCATCAAATCCACTGCTTTAGAGTGTACGGTTCAGTGATTTTTAGTATATTCACAGAGTTGTGCAACCATCACTGTCTCATTCCAGGACATTTTAATCCCCGCAAAGAAACCTTGGCCCATTAGCAGTCGCTCCTCATTGCCTGCTTCCCCCAGCCCCTGAAAACCACTAATCTACTTTTTGTCTCTATGGTGTTGCCTATTCTGAACATTTCATGTAGATGTAATAATACAGTATGTGGTTTGTTGCGTCTGGCTTCCTTCATTTAGCGTGATGTTTTAAAGATTTACCCATGTTTTAGTATGTATAAGTACTTCGTTCTTTTTATGGTTGAATAATATCCCACTATACAGATAGACTCCTTTTTGTTTATCCATTTATCAGTTCGTGGACATTTGGGTTGTTTCCACTTTTGGACTATTATGCATAATGCTACTGATAGGAACATTTGTGTGCAGGTTTTTGTGTGGACATATGTGTTCATTTCTCTTGGGTGTATATCTAGGAGGGGACTTGCTGATCATTTGGGAACTCTGAGGAACTGCCAAACTGTCTTCCAAAGTGGTTGCACAGCCAGGCACAGTGGCTCACACCTGTAATCCAAGCACTTCGGGAGGCTGAGGCAGGTGGATCGCCTGAAGCCAGGAGTTCAAGACTAGCCTGACCAACATGGTGAAACCCCATCTGTACTCAAAATACAAAAATTAACTGGGCATGGTGGCAGGTGATTGTAATCCCAGCTACTCAGGAGGCTGAGAGGCAGGAATATCGCCTAAACCTGGGAGGCGGAGGTTGCAGTGAGCAGCCGAGATTGTGCCATTGCACTCCAGCCTGAGCAACAGAGTGAGACTCTGTTTCAAAAACAAAAACCAAAGTGGTTGCACCCTTTTACAATCCCTCACAATGTGAGGATCCAGTTTTCCCGTATCATTTTTTGTTTTGAGACAGGTTCTCACTTCAGTTGTCCAGGCCGGAGTGCAGTGGTGCAATCTTGGCTCACTGCAGCCTTGACCTCCTGAGCTCAGGTGATTCTCCCATCTTAGCCTCCTGAGTAGCTGGGACTACAAGTGCATGCCCCCACGCCCAGCTAGTTTTTTGTATTTTTAGTAGAGACAGAGTTTCACCATGTTGCCCAGCTGTTCTCGAACTTCTGGATTCAAGCGATCCGCCCACGTCCTCCCAAAGTGCTGGGATTACAGGCATGAGCCACCGCGCCCAGCCAGTTTCTCCTTATCTTTACCAACACTTACTGTCTTTCTTTTTGATAATAGCTGGCCTTGTGGGTGTGAAGTGGTATCTCACGGTGGTTTGCGTTTCCTTAGTGCTTAAAGATGCCAAGCATCTTTTATGTTGATTATTTGCATATTTTCTTTGGAGAAATGTCTAGTCAAATCCTTTGCCCATTTAAAAATTTGGGTTATTTGTGCTTTTGTTGTTGAGAACGGATACAGTTTTCAGCTAAGTCATTTACCCTTTCTTGGCTTTACTTTTATCGATTGTAAAGTGGGAAAGTTGGGTTTGATCTCTGAGATTCATTCAAATCTAATTTATTTAATCTTGGGCAATTTAGTCACTCTTTTAGGGTTCTACTCACCACTGTGTGCAGTCCAGTCTGGTTATTAGGGGTATGAATTTTATGTTGAATGAATCTAGGTTTCCTGCTACTTTACCCTTCTAAGCCTGTTTTTCCCTTTGGAAAATGGGGGGGAAAAGTATTTCTTTCATGAGGTTCCTCTGAAGATTAAATAGAAATAATGCATGTGAAGGGCTTAGCAAAGTACCTGATGTAGATAAGAGTTCAGTAAATGTCAGCTGTTATTATTATATCATTACTTCATGTCTTGTTGTCTTCACTTGGCAAGCCAGTTCCCCATCCCCTGGATGTGACTTGCCTGTCCTGCTCTTAGAGCTTTTGTACAGATCAGTATTGTTCAGTTTATCCGTT